GTAATAATAATTATTAAATTTAATCTGAAAATCTTAAAATAATAGTCTTATAGAATAAATAATAATATAATAATAAAGTGTAAAGTAAATAATAAACTCAATAGTGATGTACAATCTGTCGTAATGAATAATATGATAATAAAGCAAAATATAGTTAAATTTTAAAGCAACTTAATAAATTCATGAAAATACTTAATAATGCTTGTACTTTAGTAAAATATCAAATGTGATATCAAAAAATATCGAATCAATGTTTCGACAAATGAATACTTTTCTATGTTCGATTTTGCAAAACGAAAGTATGTCAACTAAAATACTGATGAAACCTTTTTTTAATATTTATAGTGATATTCTTAATAAGTATTGCCTAGCTAGTTAAACGGCAGGTGCGATAGTATGCACAATGATCGCGTAAAAAAATTGCTGAATTGCTTTAATATCGGGCAAAGACGTGAAAAGATGATATTATTTATTAGTTTCAGCTATGACCTATATGTTTCGACACTAAGTTAAGAGTAAACAGATTAATCACTTACGGATGTTTTTTCTTGTTATTATTCTAGTGCCTTTTGCTTTCTTTTAAATTTCTTATTAATAATATTAAAAGAAGAACGATTCGGAGCAGCTCGCAGAAGGTTACGCACGAATAGAAAAATGTAAAAATAAAAAACTACATTTAGTGTTTTTTTTTTTTTTAGTTTAGGTCCGGTAGCTTCGGAGCGACATTTTCAGGTATTTTATTAAACAAATTAATATATTATTTTAAATGAATCTACTTAAAAACGGTTATACTATTCGATATTTCAGATGTTTCGGATCCTTTACCGGTTCTGTGTTCAGCAGGATTAGATGTTAGTCGTCTTTTAATAATTAAAATCATAGTTAATCGTTTTATTATCTGGAAACATTCGTATTAATTAATATTTATTATTAAATATTTACTTATATAATATATTTATTACTAACTACCAAAGATCTAAAATATAAAATAAATATATCTTCACAACTACCCATTATATTTGAAATGTCACATGATAAGGTTACAGTATTTTTCTAAATTTTCTAACGTACTCAAAAGACGTTACCAATTCATTCATCGCTGCGGCCATCTTTAGGTTACCGAGTTGATGTTTCCAAAATTTCAATCCCATAGTTTAGTATTTAGTTTCGGAGAAAATCGACTGTGACCGATGTAAAGATAACCGAGTGCTTCTATACTTTGATCCGTTTTAAGGTTCCGTACCCATTGGGTAAAATTCGGTGTTTCTGTCTGTCCGTCAGTCACCAGGCTGTATCTTTTGGTTCGGCTATAATAATAAATTAAAGTAGCTCGTTTTAAGTAGCTCGGTGGCGTAGAGGATAAGCGCCGCGGCCCGCGATCGTTGTTGTTAAGCAACTTTCGTAAGGGTCGGTCACGAGGTGGGTGACCAAAAAATTATTATTTCGAGCTACTTCGTGCTTCAGAAGGCACGTTAAGCCGTTGGTCCTGGCTGCATTTGCAGTCGTTAATACCCTCCAATCCGCATTGGGCCAGCGTGGAGGCCCATCCTCCTTAACCATCAATAAGGAAGGCCTGAGCCCTTGCAGTGGGGACGTAAAAGGGCTGGTGATGATGATGATGATAATAATAAATACAGAATAAAATAAATATCTAAGTTGGCTTCCATACAACAAAAGTGATATTTTTGCTCGTTTTCAGTACGGAACCCTTCGTGCGCGACTTTGACTCGCACTTGGGTGATTTTTACTTTTTGGTACAGAACCGATAAAGACGATCGTGTTTGTAATAACGAGGTGATTCAATCGATATTTTTTTCGATATTGACCTGTAGGTAACAAAAATATAAAAGGGCACAATTTTTAGGGGTCAAACGGTGCCCTATTACTAAGACTACACTATTCGTTCATTTGTCACCAGGCTGAATATCATGAACCCTGATAGTTAGATAATTAAAATTTTCACAGATGATGTAAGTATTTCTATTACCGTTATCAAAGTAAATACAAAAAAACAGATACAAATATACAAAAAAACGAACGAACCCGACCGGGCAAGTCCGACTTTATTTTTGTAAACTTATTTTTTTTTTTTTTTAATATTATGTATCATATTTTGATATTAAAACTCGGGTGATTTAATTTTTTAAATTCATTAATATTTTTATGTTTATTTTAATAATAGTAAACAAACTGTAGGTATATTTAAAATAAAACAATCATCGCCCTACGTATATCATAACATCTTTTTTATTTTTTATCTCCGTTGTTAGCAAGTTAAAAAAAAAACGTGACTATGATTTGCCGTATCGTAACAATATTAAATTTTGTGCATGGGCTACAACTTTTTCGGACAATTTTTTGTGTAACTTTTTTGCGGCCCAGATCGCGGCGGCGGCTGTAGCCATACCTATAAGAGCATTTTACTGTTTTTAATAATGTCTATGATCATATTCTTTTGTGTTTGTTATTTTTATGTATCAAACATTCTAGTTTATTTCAGTTTTCAAGCCTCTCTGTCTCATTCGATCATAATTATTTTAATTTAGTTTTCTCATGTGTTTTATTTTAGGCAGTTCGAAGACGCAGTAATTAGAGCGTTTGGCCATCGTTGCCGAAGCTAAGAATCTTTCGCAAGGGTCGGTCATAGGATGGGTGACCAAAAAATTTATTGTCTTGAGCTCCTCCATGCTTCGGAAGGCTTATTAATCTGTTGGCTCAGATAGCACCTACAGTGGTTAACATGCACCTATGCGCATTAAATTCGCATGGCGAGTCAAAGCCCATTATCCCTATTCGATGCCATTCATAACGAAAGCCTGTGCTCCAGCATCGGGGATATTAATAGGCTACTGATTATGAAGTATTTTATTTAGATATAATATGAATTCATCCATCGTTATTTTTGAGAAATGTTTCCGGGAAGGAAGTCGTTAATTGATTTGTTTGTAACTATTCACTGATGAATAAAAATGAATTATTAATATTTAATGCTTTTTACGTATTTTCATTGTTTTAAATAATATCAGAACAACAAGAATGACACGCTGTTAAAAATAGGCAAATTTGGATTGGAATTAAGGTCTTTTCGTGTCGTAGGGGTAATGTATCATGCACTGCCCCTGCCACTTGACGCAGATAAGTGTGTGGCACTCTCTAACAGTCCCCGCACGAAGACTAGTTAAAACGTGGTGTAGCATATTCATACCACTGATTGGAATACAAGCTTATGGATAGAATTACATAGATAGGGAGAACGTAGAGCGTAACCTACTACGTGGGTCCAGTGTGGATTGGTGTATGTCGAAGAATACATATGCAAGCGGGACCAAAGGTTTAACAAATCTTCCGAAACATGGACGAGCTGGAGACATTAAATTTTTGGTCACCCATCCTATGACCGGCCTTCGAGAAAGATAATTTACTTTCGCAATCACTCCTCAATTTTATCTTTGTGTTGATTGATTAAAAGGTGAAGCACACTTATTATTTCAAAATTGTTTTTTTATGTTATTGATAGGTAAGATGGTAACCTATTGAATGGACGAATAAGATATTGAATTCGATGGTGCTATATAGTATTTATTTGTTTAATTTCATACGTTTAAAGGAGAAAAAAATGCGAGCTCGTCCGTCTGATATAAGTCCGTCCGTCCGTCTCCGAATTAACTTCGTTAAAAATGTACTCAACAGACCGAGTTGATATTTTGTACTAACTTATTATCATAATTTTAAATAATAAGTAGAAGTTTTACCCAAAAAAAAAAAATTATCAAAAATAATCCGTATCAAAAACGTAACCCGTCAGTCTCTTCCTGCTATTTAAACTACTGGATTTGAATTGAAATTATTATTGCATATGTAAGGCAGTGACATAAAGAAGACAATATAACGTATATCAATGAATATGAAACCTAGTAGACTCTTTTGGTAGCATTTTGAAACCTCCCAAAAGAGTCTACGAAGTTTTAATATCGATATTATACCCAAATAACATTATTTACTACAACTAGGTCCTATTTGGGGTGTACAACATTATTATAAAACTGATTAGCATGCGTTAATATGTTCTTGAATCTTCTATAGTTACTTGGGTACTTAGAGAAAAATATTTGACAACAATCTCATTTCATTTACGGTTTCAATACCCATAAGGGTAAAAATCTATTACAAAGACTCGGCTGTTCATCCGTCTATTATCAGGCTCTATCTGATGAACCATTATAGTTCAGAGTTGAAATTTTCACAGATTGTTTATTTTTCTTACCGCTATAACAACAAATAAAATAAATATTTAAGGGGGTTTCCAAACAACAAACGTGTTTTTATATAATGGTACGGAACCCTTCGTGCTTCGAGTCTGACTCACACTTGGTCGGCTTTTTTCATAATGTTCAAATAAATTGTTGCAAAATTAAATATATTTGAAAATTTACCATTCTCCCCTGTTATCATCGCAACTACTAGGCATTTTGTAAAAAATACAGAAAATAGAACTACATCTATAGATTACAGTGAAATCTATACGGAGTTTATTATTCATAAAATTAAATATTTGATTAACTAGATAATTAAATATTAAATACTGAACCCTCTGCGGCCAAGTTCAACTAGCTCTTGTCAGATTTTTTGCTTATATTAGATGTAATGTCAAGGTTAATTTAAGACAGTTCAAATTAAAATCGTATCTTTTATGTTTATTAATATTCATTTCATTTAATAATCATATACCTACCTAAGTAAATTATTATCATAAAATAAGAAATGTAATATTTGTTATTATCATTCTGATAATTAAAACGAAAGTGATTTAAAACGAAAGAAGAAACAAAAATAAAGGAATGTTTATTGAAACAGCTGTTATGTCACAGAACTGTAAACGAAATAGCGTTTAAGAAAAAAAACAGCACCTTTATCTATGGTATATTTATATCGGATTCTAAGCATAATGTTATAGTATATATTATAGTACATGATCATAATATAATATCATAAGTACTCACTCAAATCGAATTTGGGGAACTTCATCCTGGCTCGTAAGCGGAGCAAATTCAAAGTCACGGTGCCTATGATTACAAATGATGCGGACGCTGACAAAAATACAATTCAAATGACGACCGAGTCGTGTTTCATTGCGATGTTTTTAAAGGAAAAGAATGCCTTTGATTCGTATTTCGCGATGTTATTGAAAGGAGCGTATTCATCCGATACGTGCGCATGTGCGCGGTTTGCTCGTCCACTGCCGCCCGCCGCCGGCAGTGCCGCAGGGACGTCGATATGATACTCTCGTCTATTAAATTTAATTCCTTTAGGAATGGTACAGGGAGCTCAAGGCGAGGAATACCCGCTTTATGTTTAGTCGTTCTTATGTCGTTCTATGAACAACGACATAATAATTGTATAAATAGGACGTTATTCGTGGCCGATTAACCCTTTAGCAGCAGACGAAATACCTTTATCATATATCTGAAATGATCCGACCTGGGTTTAAGCATGGAGGCATCCAGAGTTTATTCTATTTATTCTGTTTTCTATCTTTATGCCCGATTTTTTAATTCCCATCGTGATAGACAACAGAGCGCCACTCACAATTTTCACATGTTTTTGTGTTTGGTCCAAAAAAAAATTAGATTTTAAGTGGACAATATTAATTACCCGAAATTTAAAATCTTTGATATACCTACCTATTATTTTTTGAGTTAGAGAAGAAATGTACATGTGTTTAAACAAAAATATATATAACTATCATCGAACATTACACTGTAATACTTAGGTACAAAATATAGAGTTGATGGCATTTCTGTATCGCAAATAATAACTAGATATTGTCATAAGTTTTAATGTGTAGCAAATGTTTAAAAGAAGTGAAAAAAACATGCAGACGGAATTAAAATGATACATAATAATACCTACTTCGGAGATTAGATGATAGTTTCTATGAGAGTCCATTAATTTGATGTTAGAGAAATTTCTACTTTTCATTTTTGGTACTGATTATGCACACTAATAGTTATTATGACAGAAAATATTTTGAGAAATTCAACCGCTTAGGGGGTTGAATGAAAGATTATTTTTTTTGGAAAGATTCAACCGCTTAGAGGATTAAATGGGGTTTGAAAATAATGTTATCCATTATGCAGGCGAAACCGCTGACCTAGCGTGCTAACCACTGCCTCATCGAGCGCCTGGAATTGGATACATGTTGAGTGGTTCGGTGGCGTAGTGGCTAAGCGTGTTGTTAAGGTACTTTCACAGGGGTCGGTCACGGGATAAGTGACCAAAAAATATTATATCGAGCTACTCCGCGCTTCGGAAGGCACGTTATGGCGTTGGTTCTGGCTCTATTTGCAGTCGTTAATAATCTCCAATCCGCATTGGGCCAACATGGAGGGTCACAGCCCATCCTCCTTAACCATCCATAGGGAAGGCTTGAGCCGCTACAGTGGGGACGTAAAAGGGCTGGTGATGTTGATCTATTGAAAATCATGTTGTTATTAATTTCAGTCTAGTCTATTCCTTGCGACTAATAATCTACAATAGGATAAACTGTATTAGTATAATAACTATTTGCTCAGCTCAATTAAACATCGTATACTGTATAGTAAACATTGCATCACTATTGGAAATATGGTTGGTTCCATAACATCATTACAATGTTGCCTTTGAGCAAAATTTGTTACTAATTTGGTCGATGTTTTTGTTGAGTCTACTTAATGTACTTACATTCATCAAGTCATGTTATTGAAAACTGTCAAATACTCTCCAAATTATTTTTAATTTTACTCTTACATCGGTGATGATTATTCCACAAATTTAATTTTGTGGACATAAATATTGTCAATAGTTTTCTATGTACTATTATGAATATATCTAAATTGCTTCCTGTTTAGTGAATTAATGTTTTTATTTTATGATCTATTAATAGACTATATAGGCCTAAACGCTCATCAAGACAAATAGCTTTTTAATTTAGAACTATTGACAGCGTTCAATTTCGTTGGTGTCATTTTATTTATTGCTATGTCAAGGACATCAAAATGTACTCCGACCTAATTATAGTGTAGGTAGATTATATTTTATTAATGATGATGATACATCGAAATGATTTAGAAATAATCACACATTTAAAAAGGCCGAGCAGTAGATTACATGCAACAGAATATATATTGATATTAATATTAAAAATTATATTTAAAAGTTCACTAGTTTCAGATGTCAGAAATGGAATTTTATCTCGGACTGGTAAACTTTTTAAGAGCTTTTCTACGAGTTTTTTAGTTTTTAACTTCTTGCATATTATCAAGCACGTGCTTTACAATAACTGATTAGGCTTATTTTAATCCTCTCTCACCCACAGATGAGGGACCAAGGATATCCTTTATATCGAGAGGTTCTCCGGTACCATCCCATCACTAGAACCACGAGCATGTGCAGGTATTTTTTGGGCTGGAACCCGTCATTCGATCTGTATAACAATTTGTATTTGTGACTTGGATTTCAAATGTCCACTAACCAATCAGGATTGGACAATCCAAAGCTTATCAATCTGATTGTTCAATTTGACGATTGATATACGGATACCATGTTCGGTTATGTGGTAGAGCCGCTGTTCAGTGGTCTTCCCACTAAGTAGGTTCTTTGGCTTTTGGAAGAGTTACACAATCCTTGCCGTCCCATCAACAGGCGTATTTGCTAGCTCAACAAAATAAAGCCGCAATTATTGAAATAAATTGAGCAGTTCCGATGTATCAAAATCATTAATTCGTATTTTCTATCAATGGTAAAAATTGCGAATTTTGAAACGTCAATGTCGACAATCTCCACTGGTGTTCAGTTCATTTTGACACTTGATTTTGTATCGATGAACTATTATTTCGAATTCCGTAAGGATTAGTGACAATAAAAGTGAAGTTAAAGGAGTGATTTCATCTATAATATAGCAACTGGCTAGAGATTATTAAAAATGAGTTACAGCATACCAAAACTGCGTGATGACAGCTTGCCTATAGAACTGTAAACAATTTTATTAAAGTTGTCCTCAGATGTTGCCAGAGTTACAGAATAAAGGGGCAGGCATGAGGAATAGTGGCATAATGTATTTTTATTGGGTTCAAAAAATAATATTAAAAGCAATTGACGTAATCTAATGTTTATCTTGTTAACACAATATAATTTTGGCTATCATCGATGCTCGAAATAGGATTCGAATTCTTTCGTCAATCGGCCAATTGTTCTATCAACTGAACTACCCTGACGAGACAGTACAATTTCTTGAAAAAAGATTAAAAAATATCGCTCATGACAATTAACAATTGTAGCGGGGATACGGGAACGATAGTCCAGTTTTTAGACCGTAAGTTATTACAAGAGGTTTAAAACAAGATGAGCTCATGAGATTTGTTGAATATCCACACCCGAATTCTAGAGCCGAAGGTAGCCAAAAGGCCAGTGAACCTGTCCATATTGACTGTTGCTTACCGAGGAAGGATACATCATGGCACTTTGGTGATTAAGTAAATCTACGATTCAGTAGGTCACCGCGCCATCTATGAGTCTTAGGAGAAACTAAACTCATGACGTTAAACAATGTATTCAAATTGTTGAAGTGGCTATACAAAGTGGAAAAAAATGTATATTTATATACAGTTTAACAATAATTTATAGTTTATATCGCACTTGTATGTTGTTCCGTCATATAACACTGATGGCATATAGAGCTGGGACGGGAGTTTCTTACTTTTTTATTAGCCATATGACTCCTGAAGATCCTGAACACAGCCAAAACTAGAGAAATAAAGTTCTTTTAATAAGTCAGTATAATCTGTATTGAAATATGAATAAAGGTAAATACGGGTATTAGAAATATATATTTATATATGACGGCGGGTAGTCAGAAGGGGCTATCATGAAGCCCAAATAGATCTTCCATATCGGACAACTATCTTTAAAATAACACTGCAGGCGTGTATACCAATGTGGATTTATTCCATTTTATCACTTTTCATACGGAAATAAAACGAGATGAGCGTGATGTAGTCGGATGTCTTTACTCCTCAGCGATCGGAAACAGAATGCGTACTAAAATGGCGGCAATTGCTTTACGTTAACGAACTGTCAATGTCAGTGTTACCATTCTAATAAAATTAAAAGAATCGACGATCACTCCCTCTCTGCAATTAAGTAATCGAGTAACTAACAAAAAAGAAACTAAATCAAACAATCTTCGTAAAGGTGATGGAGATATTTTGCGATATATATTTAACAGACGTTTTATTTTTCGAGGATTATTTTTAATAATATTTTGATAGATGTTGATTGTTATATGTCAGCGAAATATCGAAAGAATGTTCTTTAACCGGAAGTATGAAAATAATTTGTGTTAATAAATAATAAAATGCAACATCTAAAAAATACTTCGCTCCAAGTAAACGAACTAAATTTGAATGAGGTTTTATTGGTCACGGCAGACTTCAAATAAAGTTTATTTCATTTATTAATCATCTTTTTAGTTTTTAAAAATTAATGAATTAGTTACAAAAAAAAGAACAAACGAGGATGTGGTTGCGAAACTGTATAATCTCTCTTTACTAAGAATTATTAGAATTACTATTATTACCAACAGTCTAATTCATGTTACATATTAATAAGGTAAATGGATTGTAACAATGTGATACACTGTTACCGGGAAAGTTCAATTATTTTTGTGAATATATAAAAATAGCAACAAATTTTCATTTTTATCGTATGTTTAACTATTTGTATCAATTTTTGTTCCGGCTGTTTGGGTGGATTACCTGAACTTTATGAAAATACGCCCTGTAGTAGCAAAAAAGTAACAAGTGCTTGAAAAATTCGTCAGTCCTGTTTTTTTTTTTAATCGGTTTCCCCACTTCTGTTATAGCAGGTTACGTCAATCCTGTTAGCTCCTGGTTAGCTCAGTTGTTAGAACAGTCGCCTGGATAACCATTCGCAGGTTATGGGTTCGAGTCCCATCTCAGAGTGCCAGGGATAATATGAAAAGAACACTCATTAAATCCAACTGAGTCTTGATTTTTTAAATATATTTTTATTCAGTTTTTATAAATTCAATCATAATTTTTTCTTTAAAAACAAGCTTATGTTGGACTACACATGTCATTTAAATATAACACCAAATTTAACAGCTACTGGTAATCGACCTTCTTTTTAAATAATTTTTTTTAAAGTAAAATATTTTTTAAGTTTTATTGTCAGTCTCTAAATT